TGATTTGCTGAGGAAAATTCCTTTCAGAGCTATTTTTAAGGACTGCTTTCTTTTTTTGTGGCTTGTTGTTTTTTCTACACTGATTCTTTCAGAGCTTTTTGAATTCCGTAAACATTCCAACCTAAAAAATTATTTCCCCACCAAATCTCTCTTCTAATCAATGCACAGTTGGCTTTTTGGTTTTTCTGCAAACCAATACAGACTTCTTGTGTTGCGATACTCAAGGTCATGCAAAGCAGTAAATGGTAAGATTAGTTTAACTTATGTCTCTTTCTTTGCTTACATGTACAGAGTAGTTACTGTCAAAGTTTCTTTCTCAGATATTTCAAGTCCTGGCAGTTAGCTCCAGCATTTCAGAATTAAGAATTTTCTCCATCCCCTCTGAAAATATTAAAATACATACATGTGTTTGCATTTCCATCCCCAAGCTGATCGCATGTTAAGTGTTTACTCCTATTGTTTCAGAGGTTTTTAAACTAGGGTTTAAAAAAATTAAGACAAAATTTGAAGTGAATAAGTACCAGATTAAGCTAGTAATTCAGGTTTCATAGTGATGTATTAAGTAATGAACATTTAATCCACATCATATGGACCTAAAAGAAGCACAATATAATTTGACTGTAGTAGAGTTTTGCTGCTATCTCACATGACAACTTCATGTAAGCAATATAGGAAAGAAGTTTAAGGAGCTAGTAGAAAATGGTTAAAAATACTGAGTAGCAGTAACTGACTTTTAGAATAGCAGGCTCTGCCCTGAGCCCTGTAATATTTACATTTTTATCTTGACAAATGGAAGGTGTGATCTGATAAAACAGGTTGCAGTTCAATAGTGAAAAGATCTCATAGCTACAAAACATAAGCAAAAGGGATAGAGTTGCATAGGTAGCAACTCTTTAGAAAAAGTACTGGAAGCAATACTGGGTCTTAAGATGACCTTGAGTCGAAGTTATTACGCTGGTTGGTGTGAAAATATAATATGTACTCTTATTTATACACCCCAGCATGAAAGACCGAGAGATAACATCATCTTCAGTATTGGTTCAGCCTCAGCTGGAAAACTGGATTCATTTCTAGAAAAAAGTGGAACAGCAGACAAAGTTCTAGCATGTTTTTGTTAAGAAAAATCATGTCAAGTATATCTAA